CATATTATCAGTCACCCGTAGACATTCAGTTTCCGAATGCCAATCGACTTTTTGGTCATTGACTCTTTTTTAAGGTTCATTTACCCTCAGGGGGTCGATACCGACCTCACTGAGAACAATAGCCCCAGTCTAGGGATTTGGCCGCCTCTGTCAATCCCTGCGATTCCATTAACCCCGTGCCTGCCGGGTGCTACTCCTGTAGGGTAGTTTTCGGCCGCCTGTGCGTGGGAGAGGGGACGTGGTGAGGGTGTGGGCGTGGGCGTGCGCAGGGCCGCGGGCGAGTGCCGGCTGGAGGTGGTGGAGGCGCTGCTGGCGGCGGGCGTGTCGCCGGACGCGCGCGACGAGCGCAACAAGAGCGCCAGCCTGCTGGCGGCGGAGCGCGGCCACAGCGCGTGCGTGCTGGCGCTGAAGCGGCGCGGCGCGCGCCCGCTGCGCGGCCCGGCGGAGGAGGAGGCGCTGTGCGACGCGGCGCGCACTGGCCGCCTCGACGTGCTGCGAGCGCTCGTCGCCGCGGGCGTCAGCCCCAACGGCCGCGGCCGCGACTACAAGACGGCGCTGCTGCTGGCGGCGGAGAACGGCTTCGTGGACGCCATCAAGGTGCTGCTCAGCCACAGCGCCGTCCCGCTGCAGGGCTTGGAGGGGCGCGACGCCATGCGGAGGGCCTTCAAGGCGCGCAACGCGACGGCGGTGCGCGCCCTCCTGGCCGCAGGCTTCGACTACAACCGCAAGAACGCGCACGGGGAGACCCCGCTGCACGACGCGGCCGAGGAGAACTGCGTCGTGTGCCTCGACGACCTGCTCAAGGCCGGCGCCAAGGTCAACGCGCTCGACGAGAAGGGCGAGACGGCGCTGCACGAAGCCGCGTTCTACGGGCGCACCGAGAGCGTGCAGTTCCTCCTGCAGGCCGGCGCGGGGATAAACATGACGGACAAGAGCGGCGAGACGGCTCTGCACGAGGCGAGCCAGAACGGCCACACGGAAATCGCCCTGCTGCTGCTGGCCGCCGGAGAGGACGTCAACCGGAAGGACCTGGCGGGGGAGACGCCCCTCCACGAGGCCGCGCAGAAGGCGCATGCGCTCACGGTGGAAGCGCTGCTGCAGAGCGGGGCGGACGCCAACGTGACGGACGCCAAGGGCGAAACGGCGCTGCACGAAGCGGCGAACGCCGGCTGCGAGGTGTGCGTGCAGCTGCTGCTCAAGGCGGGCGCCAGCGTGGACGCGCGCGACAACAACGGCGAGACGCCTTTGCACGAGGCCGCGCACGAGGGCCACGCCAAGTGCGTGCAGCTGCTGCTCGAGAACGGCTCCGACATCGACGCCAAGGACGTGTTCGGGGACTCGCCCTTGATCGAAGCGGCGCAGAAGGGGCACCCGGACACCATCCGGCTTCTCCTGGAGAGCGGCGCAGACGTCACGGTGCGGGACATCAAAGGCGGCATCGTGCTGCACACGGCGGCCCAGTCCCGCTGCGGCGGCTGCCTCACGGTGCTCTTGGAGGGGGACGTGGACGTGGACACGCGGGACAACGACGGCGACACCGCGCTGCACGAGGCCGCGCTCTCCGACTGCGAAGTGTGCGTGCAACTGCTGCTGCAGAGGGGCGCCAACTCGCGGCTGAAGAACAGGGCCGACAGGACGCCGCTGCAAGTCGCCAAGTCGGACGCGGTGCAGAATTTGTTGCGGAAATGAAGGCTTCAATAATACAACGTACTGTTCTTCTCTATGCTTCTCGTCTGATATGTATGTGGTGACTTCAAAAGCCTTCGCATACCAATAAGCAATTGCATCGGCTTCTCTGATGTGAAATCTATTATCTATGTCACGTCGGTGCGAGCAAATTAAGGGGAATAGAGGTAATTACAACACTGTTAAGCTTGTACGCTTATGTAACCAGCGAGCGCAGCCAGTCAGCTGTCTCTCCCATCGTGTAGGTAGGATATAAAGTACAAAAAAGAATGGTTCTGTCTGTGGGACATTCTTTACATAGTCTCACAGCTACCTTTGAAAAATGTTATAAATAAATCAGGAAATGGGTTTCGGAGATGTGGCACGTAAGAAAGAGTGAAATGTTTTATGTTCAAAAATATGAAATATCAATTGCAAGTAACAACTTTCGAGGCAGAAATCTCCAGATGAACGCACTTTACAATGTAATATTCTCATACCTATTCGATCTATTTTGTTGTATTTTCTGTCTCTCGCATTTATACTTTTAAGATACGTTATATTCTATTATTATATATTCATATTTCATTTAATGTCATGTACTCAAATACATTCTATAAATTCAGAAAATATAAAGTGTTATTTCTTCAGTAAACTCGTATCATTAATTCGAAATATCACCCAAAGCAAGCAAGAATAATAGTGTTGTTTTAAATATTATGTTTCATCTTAATTTAGGGATATTGCATGTATAATTTCATAAATTTAACCAATGATAATGTTATCGTGTGTGCCATTTTTATAGATATTTAAATTTTGTCTTATATTAACGTATGCCATTTCAAAATTATTCATTAGGTATCTCAAATTTAAAGCGTTCTGATTGGGAACACCTTCAATCTCTTTTAGGTAAAATACAAGTTTTATTAATGTATGTACTTGAGATACGGTTCATATGACAACAATATTAAAAATATGTCAACAATAGCGTTTTATAATTGAATTTCTGCGAATAGTTACATTATAAGTCAACCAGCCGCGGAAATCATCCCACTATTCGTAGTTGTTAATATCTCTACTTTAGTAGAAGTGTGTCTTTTGTAACTATCACAAGCCCCTCGTACATATAAACCAGACGTACATTGTAAAAGAATAAACCAACATTCATTAAAATGGAGATACTATTAACATTTACGAATAGCGAGATATTCCCTACATAATGTTCATATTACTCAAAACGGGATGATAAATTCCTAAGTAGGAACAGTTTAGAAGCATACTTCGATACTTACCCGGAAGAAGTGCACGTTTAACAACATAATGAGCCTGGGGTAGATTACGTTATGGTGACCGTTAATATGTGATAAAGATGGGTCAGACTGCTCGAGATCATTTCTAAGGCTTAGTGAGGGAATCATACCTCACTGCGTACTTTAACTGATGCATGTCAGAGTTGGCGACTACACCAAGTTTCGGCCTTAGCGATTAACTTTCGATGACTCAACCTTGTCTGTGCTTCGCATTTTTACGTCAAAAGACTTCTCGGGAACATTCAAGACGCTTCACACTTCAAGAGCAAGTCACATTATTTTAGACATCGCCATCACTAGCAGGATTACATACAACGAGGGTAAATAACATTAGGGCGTATGCTGAACCTAGTGTATCCTCCATCTAGCCTATGTTTTTGCAACGGTTACAACAGAAGCCGAACCTCTACTAGCCGCATCAACGTGACTATAAAGCTGTGTGAACCTCGGGTTTTAAACAACTAGATACAGATCGTCGCTCGGCGCTTGGCTCGCAGGGAGGGTAGTTCGAGACAAAGGGAACACCTCCCCACGCAAGCTCCTACCTCTGTTGCGCGCAGATACCTCGGAATCTCGCAAACCTACGATGCAATTGCGCCGGTGTTGGCTGGCGCTTTGTTTCTTGAGAGAAACCTTCTTGTGTGATTTTTCACATAAACGAATTTAACCGTAATGTTAAGACCCCCACACTTTTCCGGTACAGCCATTTTACATAAAAGCAAGAAAGGGTTTTGGTTTTCTGAGTACAAATGCAAAACAATGCTGCTGTTATAGATTGTTCCTTGTAAGAAAATTTAACTTTTTGCATATCCTTGTGCGTTAATTCTGCTTTGGTATTTTTCCGTGTCTAGAAAGTCCATAGCATTGCCATTTATCTGTAAAAAGTTTGTTTTTGTGGCCAGGATATCGATTTGATACAGGTTTCCTCTCCCTAAGCACGTCAATGACATTAAAAGTGAGGAAATATCTTGCTGACGCATTGTGCTACGTTGTGATGAAGTTCTAAAGACAAGAGCGAAAAAGCAGAAGCGTCAGAGAGAATGTGCGCGGCCCGCCAAGCATGTTTTGTAATGCCAGTTGGAGATCAGTATGAGACATAGCTACCTCTCTTCACCTGCGATGTTGTCTGCATATCACAATAAATAAGTTGTACCCGTGCCAGTATATCTGCAAAGTATAAAACTCATCCTCTTGCGCACAAAAGCCAACTTTGAAGGGAATATTGGTAATTCTCGCAACGTATGGGACATACAACAGATGAAAATAACACTCATTTCCCACATACAAAAAGTTTGTTATATAAAGATTCTTTGTAATGCGAATTCAGAGAACGTTTTTCGCTTTTTCTATGTGGGCGTGTTGAGAAATTCGCCTTACACATATCAAAATTTGTCTGTAGAGATTTTGTAGATTCTTGAAGTCATCTATGTCCCTAGGGAGAGGAGATATGCATCACAGAATGCAAATGTGTAATATAATCAAAAACCTAAAATGCTACAATGCCAATTTCACATACTAATATCCTTGCTATAAAAGCAAAATCTAGAGCATGGCGATTTTCTAAATGTTCTAGCCATGTGAAGCAGGAAAACACAATTAATGCTCAAGGTCGTGCAAAAGGTTTAAATTTGTTTAGTACTTGTAAACGTAGTTTATAGAAGTGGTGCACATTTTTATACGCGCACATATTCCTGACCCCTAGTAAACCTATCCCATTCCTTTATTAACTTTATTTGAATTAATATTAAATGATAGCAAAGAGCGTTGGAGGAAAAAATGTAATAACCAGAAATGTTTGCTCCCGTGTAGTAGAATATTATCTGCATCCATAAACAGGTTGCAAATTTCATATAATAATCGTGTCATCAAAATAACAAACCCTCCTCTACTCTATCATTTGGAGATATGAAAGCTCAACAAATCGTGCGCAAACAATAGAATGCCAACTGTTACACACGAATGAACCGCGCAGTGTGACAGGGGAAACCTAGCATTGCGCATGCGCCAGCGGGCGCCTGGGCTCACCGGATGCGCAGCGCGTGGGAGAGCGTGGGCAGCAGCAGGAAGACGATGATGTTGATGGCGTCCCACAGCCCGGCGTCCAGCAGGAAGCGGCACATGCTGCCGAACTCGCTGGCCTTGTCCCGCAGGGCGTTGCCGCGCACGCCCAGCATGCACAGCGCCACGGCGTCCGTGGCCGCCATCGCCGCCATTTTCTTCACGTCGATGCCAGCTGCGCAGCACACACCTCTCTCTTAGCCCAGTCGCCCTTCTAACAACACGCGGATTTGATTCGAAGGAAGAATATGACAGAATTGTCCAAGGAATTTCATTTCTTTCGAAACTTATGAGTTCAAAATTGATAGAAGGATGGTTCCAAATGGAAATAATTAAATGATATTAGCGGAATGAAAGTAAATTGCAAATACTTTCTATTACGAGTTTGCGCACAATTAGGGATCTGAAAATATTGTCGCATCCAAAGAATCGCACTTATATTAACATGAGGAAGATATTGATTTGCCAGTACAAAGTAAACAGACACTGAGAGTTGCAAGATCTTCAAGGCAATAGTCTCTATTTTGAACCACCTTTCGCATTGCAAGAGGATAGATAGATCTGTCGTTTGAGCACAAGACAGAAGAGCGAATCGCGTAATACACATGACGATTTTACTAATGTAAGAGTGCAATGACCTCGCGTATTTTATCCACCTCTTCATCCGGAGAGAGGGAGGAAGGGATACGCGAAATTTAGTGTATTTTGTTGATATGAAACTCTTGTTTGCGTACATCACTTTAACACTTGGGTCTCACAAAGGCAGCCTACAGTGTTGAGACGTCGACTTGTGATTCGCTAGCCACTATGAGCATTATATATGTCAGTGCGTCCAAAGATCATATCTCCAAACACTCTCCTGAGCCTCGTTTCCACATTACGTAGGATCATCCCACTTTCCCAATAATATAATTCTCCTCGTGTATTGCATAATGTGCTGAACGTAAAAGTCGACAACTAAGCATTACTCACATTGTATGAATACATTTTAAATGATAAAAAATGATCCTTAACGTAAAAAAGGAAAGTAAGAATGCATGATACAACGATAAAATAATAATAATAACAATAATTATAATAATAACAATAATAATAACTATAATAATAACAATAATAATAATTATTATTATTGTGTATTTTTAATTGTCCCTTCACCTCTCATCATCTTCCTATCACCTCATAATTCATAATTCGAGGCGCAACAACCTTTTCTTAAAAAGGGATATGGCTGAAAAGCTGATCCCCGTAATTTCAAACTTCATTTCGGGCTTTGGAAGATAACGTGTCGCGTGGTCAGAAATGGCTAATAGTAATAATAATAATAATAATAATAATAATAATAATAATAATAATAATAATAATAATAAATGCAGTCAACACCAATTAGTCTGTTTTAGTTTGTCTTGTATTAGAACTTGTGACTCTTCTCCTATGTTATACCGAACGTAAAGGCATCGTAAAAATCGGCAATAAAAGCGATAATAATAACTTTAAATTTTTGAGTTGTCAAGAACTTCGGAAAGAGTCACGTTCTAATTACTAATTTATTCCCTTTACGGACTTACGACTATCAAAAGTTTTTTCCTGAGATGCTCAGTATTATAAACTCATTATTATAAGTGGCCCAGAGCTCACCTTCCCTGTTGCTCTCGTTCCTGAGGTAGTCGCTGATCTCCTCCGTGGTCTGGATGAGCTGCTCCTTGAGGCCGCGCATGCGCGCAGGCGTGAACGTGGAGGTGAGCTGCCCGCGCACCAGCTTCCACCTGCACGCGAACCAACCAGAGACTTTAGTTGTCCAACTCTTCACTTCCCATGGAACTCCTTTTAACTCCAAAACCTCTTTCAAACCTCGGCTTCGACATTGAACTAGAAGTTATTGACAATATTATTGTGAATCTATATGACATTTTTATTATGATGCCAGTGTCCATGCTTAACGTGTGTGTCTGGACGTGAGTGAATTATTGGGTGATATGAAGATATAAAATGGATTGCGATGAATCAGTCGTGGAATGAGTGTAGAGGAGACGGAAGAACCACGAGAGAACCTGCCCAGAACCAGCTTCGTCCACAACAAATTCCGCGTGGATCGATCTGAAGTAGAATCTCAAACCCAACGGTGGACAGAGGACAGTGTACTGCTCCACCACGGATCACGGACAGCCATATTTCCACTGACTCAATCATGCGTCTATGGAATACTCTCACTTGCCGTTATCCAATTGACGCACGCCAAGTGCTGCTACTCACTTGTCGCCCTTCTCAGAGAAGGGGCTGCGCCCGAACATGGGGTCGATGTCGGTTGGCATGTAGATGTCGTTGTCCTTGAAGCTGGAGAAGTCCTTGACGAGCACCGTGCCCACCAGCTCCGGGTCCCGCAGCAGCAGGGCCGGCTGCAGGCACTTGAAGTAGCCGCACGCCGGCTGCCCCGAGAACTGTCTGCGCGTGCGCAGCACGACACAACTCAGGAAGTGCTCGGCGTCCAGGCACAACAATAAGGACACCATTCCCACTGTACCATTCCAACTATACCACTCCCACCGTACCGTTCTCATTGTACCATTCCCATTGTACCATTCGCATCACTGTACCATTTGCAACGTTGTACCATTCGTATTTTCTTCACATTCACATCATTTCCTCATTCACGTCATTTTCCCATTCACATCATTTTCCCATTCAAATCATTTTCCCATTCAAATCATTTTCCCATTCACATCATTTCCCCATTCACATCATTTTCCCATTCACATCATTTTCCCATTCACATCATTTTCCCATTCGCATCATTTTCCCATTCACTCATTCCCTCGGCCATCGCCTCGATTTCCCAACGCGTGTGACATTTGCTGTTGATGAGCTTCGCAGCTGGAGCAGCCCCGAAGTAGGCGGTACCTGTAGATGTCCCTGTAGACCTCGCCGACCGTCTTCCGGAAGAGGGCGGCGTCCAGGAAGGAGCCGACGAGCGGCAGCGGGCGGTGCGCGGGCACCCCGCGGCGCCGCCAGTAGCCGTAGCGCCACACCAGCAGCGCGTACCCCGCCGTCGCCAGCAGCGCCGCCGCCAGCGCCACCCACGCCCACACGCCCATGGCGCCTGCGCACGCCACGCGCATGCTCACGATGCAACAGCACGCCGTCCCATACGGGCAATGGAAGCTAATGAATTGTATGCGAAGATAGCACTTGATAACTGTTGCCGCTCAAAATACATTTTGGATTTATGCGTTTCTCTTACAACTTCATATTGCGAAAAATATTGAACGACAAATGGCTAGTGACACAAATAACCGTCTTCGTTGATTATTTGCTCTATTTCGGTCTAATGACATTAAGAATTGCAGTCGGCTCCAGTCATTTAAGAGATATCACATCGCCTTCCTAAATACAATTTTGCTGGTTCAAACGTGACTGGGGGAGGTGTGGCCTGATAAATGGGGATGACACGCTTGTGGCGTGAAAACATTTCTCTGTAGTGTCCGGCAAAATTAAATACATACGACAATTCTCTTTCTAATCAGAACCTGTGTTCCTTCGTTCAATCAAAGAGAACAAAAGTAAATTACGAATGATAACGTTAGGACGGTATTTGGCCAAAAAGCTGATGGAAGCTAGAGGCACTCATAATGTCAACGTTGAAACACTGCCCTACACATGTCGATGAAGGGAATAAGATACGATTTCAGAACCTGGACATTAATCAACAATAACAGCAACAACAATAAACAACACCCACACCACAATTGACTTACTTTTTATGTCAGAAACAGAACCCGTCTAATCTGTCATTTACAAGGGGAGCTAAAAGGTAGTTTCATTTAATTATTCAGTTATTCTGATGGGCGACTGATGGATAAATGTATTCCTAACATCTCTTTCCATACTTTTTTTTGTAATATATACTGTAAATATGAAATCTTGTAAAAGTTAAAGAAAGATAGAGAACTTAAAATTATAATCAATTAAACTCCAGGTAGTACAGGTAGTCGTTTTGTGGCTTCCATCCAGCAGACAACTGACGATGATGGCTAAGCCATCGAAAGCTGCTCTTATATTAAATACTATTGTTGGCAATGACAACGTCTATAATTATTTCATGAAAAATGCCAACGATAACACACCACAACACCTATATCTTAATTCTAGTTCGTACGTTCGAGCGTCTTATATAAGTTAAAGGACTTAAACAAAGAAATTCAAAAAAATATTGAACATGCGCATATGGCATTTTAGAATCGAATTAATCGGCCTTTTGCGACTAGCGCTGTTCCTAGACCTGGGTCCTGCTTTGTTATCCACGCCTGGAGTAAGGAAGACATGTGGTGAGTATGACGTATTTCCTTCGCCGCATCTAGCATACCTGATCCACCCGGCCTTTTCTGTCGTCCCGCAACTACAGGAACTGAGACGATTGTGATAGAAATCTAGCTCTATTCTTCCCCGACTGGGAATCAAACCCTGTATCTGTATCTACCCACGTAAAGCTAGAATGCTGTCCATGAGCCACGTGAGGGGCCTATATATATATATATATATATATATATATATATATATATATATTGATATTGATATAATGTTTTGTTAGAAACTATAAAAAAGACGCTCTTTTGTTATTTGCAATTTCCGAATTTTTAAAATTGTCCAACTGTACATTCCCAAGTGACCTGTACGTTTCATTTAATATCAACTAGTGATTCCTCGATCTTGTCAAGCTTGCACTGAACTTTTAGAAATAGCAGTTCAACCTTTTAACTTGTAAATTCATACAAATGGTGATATCTGGTACGTTCAAGTAACTATTCGTTCTAAAACCATACTGGTAGCAATTTTCTCAATGTGAACAAACTTTGAGACTTAAAAAAACATACTGTTTCGTAATATTAGTGATTAAATTGCAGTAAATGAGCCAATAAGATTGATTTGTTAAGCAATTATTAATCGTGATTTTAAATACAATGCAACTGCGGAATCAGAAGTTTATTAATGGTGGTGAACTTTTAAATTGACAGTTTAAAATAAATTAAAACATGTTATCGTTAAAAATGCAAATATTTTGAAGTTAACATATTTTTTCGGTTCGAACGTAATTTGCTTTTCAGCTATGGTAGTCACACACACTGTGGCTTTCTTAGACTATTTTCATTTATTGAATTCAAATTCACAAGAAAAAATAAGAAGGGATTTTCTTTTTCAGTATAGTGGATATCCTTTCCCAAATTGTAAAAATTTTACAATCATATTTTCAGAGATATAGTTGATAGATAATTATATTCGGTTTCGAAGGTTGCAATCACGCTTTGTCAGTCACAGGCAAAAATAAACATATCATACAACGTTAACATTCATTTTTAAGTTTATTTTGTTACTTTGCATTTCATAAAATCATTATATTAAACATGTGCTAAATGTTTTCTGTGCTTCTCTTTCATAGAATTCAATTCTCGAAAGGTTATACAAACGTTATATTAATCACTATAGAATCACTCAATCCCAAGTGTGGTATTGGTTTTGACTAACATTACCTGAAGTTATTTGCATTTAGTAGAACGTACCTGTTGATGTTGAAAAATGTCTACGTCGTGGTCTATGAATGAGAAAGTAGCACTAGTAGTACTACGAGTTCACTAGTTGGAGGAATCCACTTCTTCTTTAGCATTGCAGGTCTACCGCAAACCAAAGCCTCCCTTACAGTGACGTCACGCAAGATAACGGAAGCCTCTGGCAGTTGTGATTTACAAGGAACATGGCGTGTTTTGTGACACTAATCTACTGTTGGGACATTTCTCTGTGGTGATTCTCTAACGTTTCACTTTGAAATACTCAGTCACGAGGAAAGAGTACCTTTTAACACTTCACGGTTTCTTAGTAACAAAAAATAATTGTTTGTTTTGATAATCATGAAGCATCAACAGAGATAGTAGATTTAACATTTCAAGAGATATTTCACTGTATCATCAGAATGTTGATATTTTATTTATTACATTTTTAATTTACACTTCGTATTCGTCATAATAAGGTGATCAAAGCACAGGTTCATTTATAATTGAGACCTTTATTCTCAAAACCAGCTCATTACATTATTTACCAGAAATAAGTTTTTCAACTTTGCTCAATTTGGTCTGTCCGCTATTACCTCACGATTGTATATTATTTTTTAAAATGCAGCTTATTCCGACATGACGTCTCGACGCGACGCAATTTTTGGCTCCCCTGTACCATTTTCAAGTATGGAATGAGCCCGTTTTGCTGGAATACGTCTCAACCCCAGCAAAGGTACATTGTAATACGGCACCGTTTATACACGAACAGTAGTTACATCACAGTTTTCGCGACGGCGCGGTAAGTTGCTACTTACGGCCTTCGCTCCCGAGGTTCTGCGGCCGAGACGACGCCTCGCGCAGCGCGCAGCGGCTCACTGGCGACTGCGTACGACTCTGCGCGGCGCGCCGCCCTCCCCGCACGCACACGACACAGCTTTTGTTTCCAGCGGCGGAAAGTGCTCTCCCAGAGTCCGCGGCCTACCGCCAGGGATGACTAATTACTCCCATTCGGAAGTCGTCAATTCCGCTAAAAATTACCAGGTTCCTGGAATACGTTGCGTGTACGTTTCGGTAATTGGGTAATGGCTGTAGCATGTGACATGCACTCGAACAAACAAAAAGCGATTCTGTACATATGTGTGTTGAGGGAACGTCTTGCAGAATTGTTAAGCGTATTTTATTTCTTTGTTAACGTACACATACTTCTACATTTTGTATTTCTGTGGAATTAGTGACTGTGTTTAACACGTGTACTACGGATCAAACTCGTGGTAGTAGTGAATACTTTAAGGTGGGCTGGTATTAATGGCATTTCAATCTAACGGTCACGTACTGGGGCGAGTGTGACTAACCGAAGTGGAATTAAAATTCAATATCTTAAAATAACCTTATTAAAAAAATCAAAATCGTAAATATTGGTATTGTGGTGAGTTTTCGTTGGCATTTACAATCAACATTTATGACGACTCTTATAATTATTTCAAAATTGTAAAATTTACCCTTCGTGAGGCTAATTGGCAGCGAGATTGCTTTCTGTGAGCAATCCCGAATTTGCTCCGGCTGGGGCACAATAGAAGATGCAGCTTTCTAATACAAATCACCTCAATTTCCATAGCTGTGTAACGAAGTAAAAAGCTCAGGCAGGCCAAGCATTAAACTAGGTACGGTGATGGGAATTCACCTTGCTCTCCACATGTCTTCCTTCCCCCAGGCATGGATAATACATATAAACAGGAAAGCTGGCAAATGTCCGATTAATAAAAACCTAGAACGCCAAATGCAAACATACGTTGTAATATTTAATTAACTCAATGCCGAATCTCAGTGGTATGCCAACGTGTGGTAGGTGGTATGCCAACCCACACGTTGTTGACGAATGCGAAAATACTAAGGATGCAGAATTCGATTTTTTACGATTAACCTCTCCGAAAAACAAATTTTCGGAACGAGAAGAAATAAGTAAAAAAATAAAAATGAAGAACTTCTTGTCATCGTGCTTCAGAATCCGACTCGGAGGGCCCTTATCTAACGGCCTCGACATTCTCAGCTAGCGGACATATCGGAGTGAACCCCGAGAGCGCTCCACGCTGACGCACTCGTCCACGCACTTCCTCCGCACAGACCGCGTTCAACTGCTGCCAACACGGCCAATACAATGTTGCTTAGGCCGTGAAGGATTCTGTTTTCTACAAATATGTAGGATCTCGTTTTTTAAGAGGGGAGTGATATTTCACTGCCGTGTTTAATGCTCAAAATCAAACGTTCTTTTGGTTCAAATAGTTGCTTTACAGATGCATACTAATGCCATTCCAGTACTTGGAGAACACTAAAGGGGGGCGCAACTGAGGATCCCCAGAAAAAGTTTGCAATATAATTTTTTCAACAAATGTAGATATGTAGGAACTAATAAAATACGATTTAAGCAACTTATAACAATAATATTCTACAAGTTTGTGTTAAAATATATTCAGTTTTTGAGGTACAGCAAAGCCATATTACATTTTGAACATTTTTGTGCTCACAGTCCAAATGCACAACTGTTATCTACATTGTGTGAGGATTGTAACGTGTTCTTGGGTTGGCCTGGCTATAAAAGAACGCAAGAGTTTTTACAAAGTGATTACGTAAAGTGAGAGTTTCAATTTTTTTCTCAATTCGGATAAGTATTCGAAGACAAAACTATCACAAAGAGCCAAGAAAGGTTCTAATAATTCATAATCTAAAAACCTACTTCATAAACTATAAAACTGAAACTCCTAACCTAAACAAAGATATTCAACAAAACGATGCTGGGGATTCATCGTTGACCCACACTCCCATTGGTATGCAACTATTAATTCTTTAAAATAAAAAAAATGAAATTAAACTTGTGATTAATCGATTTTAAAGGACAATTCTCTTAGATCTTTAGCATTACTCTCAAGTAAAGTCTTTATTTTAGTAATCTTAACCGTAATCTTTCTTGCAGAACAAATATTTATAAAATAAATTTAATAGAATAAAGTGTAAATTTCATACCTCTATTAGACGTTTCAATTAAAAAAACACGAAAAAATATGACAAATTTGATCAACAGGTAACCGTTAGAACGTTTGTTAGAATATAATTATCATATGCACCACATCCTAATGATTTACAAATTAATATGCCCAAATGTATTTTCTCCTCAACTGCATAACCAGGAAAGACGTTCCAAACAAATAACAATAAAACGCAGTTGTGAAAGGATACTAATCAAAAAGACAATTGCAGCCGAAATTTCAATGAAATTCTTAGCAGCAGAAGGAATATTTACTCTCCTATCATCAGAAATGTTGGATATGCATAAAAGATTTCAAGAGCTTATTTTGGTAAACAACTCCAAAACCAATACTTTTCTTAAAATGTAAATATTAAAATTTATTCACCATTGTGAAGCTTTTATTGTATAAGGTTTGAAATGTACCTCAAAATAAGAAATATATAACTCTTTATAAAAACAACAACTTTTCGTCAGGTTTATTGATTTTATTTTTCAGTTCGTGCTTATCGTTCATTTACGAGGCAGATAAGAACATATCAATAACTTTCTATAAAATGAGCCTATGTCCACCATGGATATCATGATATCTACAACACTGCAGTTTACATAAATTTATGAACAAAATCACTTTCAAAGGCTGAGCATTAATTAAATGCTCAACATTTTTTATATTTATAAAGGTGTTAATATATACTTTTCAAGAGCGCAAACAACAAAAAAGCTCAAACCAAAAACCTTCAGCCAGTTTGTTTACGGTCTCATTAAAATGTATAAAACATTCTACATTAATAAATACTGATTCTGTCTGCTGCGTTATTACTTACCCAATCCGAAATGAGAAGTCTAAAGTGTATACAATTAAATCCCCGATCTCATCCGCCTTCGCACTTGGTCGCCTCGGTCTGCGCTTGCGAAGTGGAGGGGTCTGCGCGAGCTGCTGGAAGGGCTTCGGCGCGCGCGCTCTGCCCGGTGTGGCGCCGAGAGAGCCCGATCTGCGCAGCGATCAGCTGTGGGGGACACAGACCCGGCGGCGGCGGCTTGTGATTGGCGGCGGCGAAGTTCAAGGTCGTCGGCCCACTTCATTATCTCTACTTAGCGGTCGAGTTCTGTTGCTGGCCCACCGTCGCGAATAAATAGGGAGTTGCTAATCACCAATCCCTGGGTTTGTTATTGAGCCGACCTGCCGTTGAGTATACTGCGCTTGTGCAATTGAGTGCAGTGCAAACACAGTGCCGTGAATGCTCGTGCTTTATGAATTTGAGTTGCCCTTCGGTGATATCTTTGTATGCTTTTACGACGGTACTTGTGTGTTTGTGGAAAGGTGAGAGGAAGGAGAAAAAGGGAGTGAAAACAAAAAAGAGAGATGCAAAAATGAAAAATAAAGATGGAAACACTGAAGAAGATAGAGAAAGAGAGAGGATGAAGCAGAGAGGAAAATAGGTAAAGGAAGAAAGAGTCGGAGTGAGAGGATGAAAGAAAGAGAGAGGAGATAAAGGAGAAGCAGAGGAAGAGAAAGAGAGGGAAGGAAAAGATGAAGAGGGAGAGAAAGAGGAAGAATATTAAAAAAATAGCGGGCATTTACATGAAAGTAACTACTGTATTTCTTTTCAGATAACTTTAGGAAAACGATATACGTCATTTTTGTTTTTACGTATGTATTTATTCTGTTACAAATCAAAGTCCTGTATTGTAGGAGAGACTTCAAGATACGCATGTATAAGAAAATTATAATATGATAGTTTCTCTAATCTTAATGCTGTTTTTCCTATTTAAACCTGCTCTCCCAATTTATTTATTTAATGATAAGATATCAACGATAAGATTCATCGTTGTAAGAATTTTGTATCATTTTATAACATCATTAAGTTGTTTTATCAAGATCATATCGATTTATGTAATAGATTTAAGAATTTTAATATTCTTGAAGATTCAGAGGCACATAAAGATACACTTATCGAAGTGATGGGGGCCTTTCCCATTTGGGAACGACAAACGTCGAAAATACTATTCTACAATAACCTAGATTACCATAACAATGGTTGGCACAGGGGTGCCGAACTTGCAAAGCCTCAGAGCTCCTTTAATACGGTTGCGGGTCATATTTTCATTGCTCAGGCGATACACACGATACCTCATATTTTGATATCGACAGTTTGTGTTTTCTAGAAACAAATTATTAAATCTAAACATTACCTATTTTTACATCAAGGGATTTACCCCGACTGGGCTTGTGCACTAGGTGCGCAATGTTCTCTCCGCCCATGGTTGCAAGAGACTTTCACATTTGCAATAACGATTCGCGGACCATAGGATAATGGCACCGCGGGCCGCATGCGGCTTGCAACCCGCAAGTTGGGCAACCCTGGTTTAGCACTAAATCTGCAAATACATGCAACCTGAGGGTCCAACACTGACTGTGTGCTCACGGACGCGACCACAATGGGCGAGCGCTATGAGCACAAACTCACTTTGGACTCAAATGGGTTAAGTATCACCGCCTCTACACGGATCACAATAAACTATTACATAGGGAAACGAATTAATTATATTAATGGTGCAAAATAAAAGAAATTTTAGGTACCTTCTTGGCATTCTCGTCAGGCCTTATTCCACCCTGCTACGTGCCGCCCCAACTCGCCACGATCCACTCCGATTTCCAACCTAACCACGCGCTACCCTTCAACCCCATCTCGCTCACACTCGCTGATTAATTTTTTATAAGGCTCCGGCTTCCCCTTCGCTATGCAGCCCCCCCCCCCCGATGAGAAACATCTGAAGCACATTGTAGATAAATGTATCAGTGCGCAATGAGCATATTTAATTAAGCAGAAATACAATAGTAGTATTTACGATTCATATCGCATCGTTGGCTTTCACGGCCGGAGACAATATCAGAGAAAGCTCCGGCAGGTGGGCCGTGGCCCAGCTGGCGTTGAAGGGCCAAATGCTTCGCCCGTGACTACGGTGGCCTTCCTCAGTAGCTGCAGGGTCTCGGATGCAGTGTCCGGGAAGGTGGCTGGATGGGCTGGACCACGGCCTACCAGCCCAGAAACTTTCTCTTATACATTGAATCGAATTCATGCCTTATTTTACGTGGCGAGACTCGGGCCATCAGGCCCGCTCTTCCGTCGAAATTTCGCTACGCTCCTTTCACCAACTAGCAGAGAATGGAGGTATTTCTTGGGCGAGAAACAGGCGACTTGAATTTAGCTCAGAGGCGTCATTTAGGCTTGAGGATCTTTTACATGCAGTAAATCTACTAGCATGGGACAGCCGGCTTTACTTCTTCTCCAAAGGAAGGCGTACGAAGGATTTTTTCGCCCTTACAAACCCACGACTTCGATCAGGTTTGAACCCGCCAACTTGGCTATAACAGTCCGACTTGGGTATAACAGTCCGGTACATTAGTACCACACAACAGTACATTAGGTGTTGTTGCGTTAAGGAAGGTAATGAATGAACGTCGAATGAAGGTAGTGAGTGAATTGTTCGTTGGCTGGCTGGATCCAAGGATTTTTATGTTAACAGCAGATAGGGAGGTCCAAGCCTTGCCGTCAACTCGGAAACAGGCGAGAAAAGCGAGTCAAAGAGACCTTACTGTATTGGCGATTTGTTTGTATAACTCACATAAATAAAGTAAACCATTTAAACGACCAAACTTTATAGAGTACATTCCGCACGTGTTATAAATTTACTTTATCAGTATGTGATAGAAGTACGCAAGGCCCGGCCAGTCCGCGCTCCGCAACTGCCATATACCTCCCGCACACATCACTGCCTCGCAATCCTCATTGCCAAGGGACACCGGGAACTGCATTGAATCGAAGCAATAACAAACATCGAATATGGATATCCCTCAGAGGATGAATTCAAAAAAATACTTCTCTTGGCGGCTTCCGGATTCGAGGCGCTTGTGGAAAGTAAATTTCCGTACGTCGTTAACAAAATTAAAATACAATTCCATGAAAAACCCAAATTGTAGGAATTACAGAACAAGTTTCACTATTAGTATTTTTCTACATACTCGCCACCAGAAATTAAAAATTTTTCACACCATGAGGTTTACCTTTGTATATCTCTCTGTCATTAAAACCTTTCGTGTGAGAGTGGGTATTAATGTGAGAGTGGGTATTAATGTTTGAGAGCGTCTTGCAATTCTGCGTCACCGTGATACCGACAGGAATTCCTTGAGTGTGTAAGAAAACATGAAAATTATTGGCGTAGGGGGTGGGAGGTCCGGACAATGGGCCAGATCACCTACAGGGAGGATGGTCAAACAATTTCCTAGTGGAACTGCTGCAGTAGATTTGCAATTCGTCTTGCTGTGTATGGCCGAGCACTATCGTGCAGAATACAAAACCTGCACTGAGCATCCTGCAATGCTTGGTTTCAATGGCCCTTCGCATATTCCGGTGTAGCTGTCCAACACTGCTACCTGTTCCGTGCGGCACACTTCAACGACAGGAACACGAATGTTGATCCCAACGTATAATAAACGTCTCAGTTTTGGTGGAGATTAGATGAAAAAATAACGCAACACGTGTCTAACCTGCTACTATAAAAAATTTTGACGATGTATGGAAACTTACTTGCTGGAGGTGCCTCCTACATCGTAATAGGAACTTGTATCTCAAATTTCAGGTTTCACAATAGTTGATGTGATGGGTGGCGGTGGCCCATTGGCGGATTCTTGCACAAGGTTTTGTATTGTTGGGTGAAAACTGCATTTCGAAGCCGTCAACAATTCTATGGTTCACGATTCACGTATGTTTCCAGATGTATGGGTTATAGTTAGAGGGATTCCTCTATGTGAATGAAAGTTTTGAACGAAAAATAAAGCACTATCACCTAATATTCAAGATATAACGTTTCAGGAACTCAAATAGATTAGCATTTACAGGTATAGTGTATTAAGGTTATTTGACTTGCCACGATAAAAAGGGTCATATGCTTGACCCTTGATCTTGCAACACTCTTTTTTACACGCCACAGCAACGTGGCGGTGCAATATGCACACACTTCACACATGTACATTTTGAATTATCTCTTACTTCCCATTTCTGAAATAATGATTGAAATTGTAACATATTATATTTTATTCAAATAATATAACTATTTATACATGGTATACGGTATATTTATTAAAATATCAAGATCTAACAATATCACAGCTATTCTATTTTCAATAAAAATAAAATTAATAATAAATCTCATTATAAAACGCTTTCAAGTCTTGACAGAACATTTGTCATTTCTTTTAATTGATATATAGTTTGTGTGGTGATGGATCTTCAAATTTATCATATGAAATTTCAGAACTACAAAATTTAGATTATTTCACATGCGAGATTCACAAAATAACAGTAACACGATAACGAATTTACTATTATTGATTGAACCTGAAAGTTTATAAAATGTAGTAATACTTGACCCTGTAAATACTTATCAAACATCTTATCAACATTTTAGAAAAAATGAATGATTTTCATTTCACAGTTGCTGTTATAAAAATCATGAAATTCACGTTTGGAAAAACATTATTGAACTTTTACTTTGGAATGTATGACGACGTTAAGCAAGTCCTTAACACATTCTCGTCCCCGCTTCTTAACGTAACAATGTTCTCTTCTTCGTCATTCAGCATCATTCATGCTGCGAGGTGATTTTGGAACCTTCCTTTCTCATTGTAGAGTTCAGACACATCCTCCCTCGCATTGCTTGCACTCCGTCGTTGTGAACACGTCATTCGTGCGTCTGTCTCGTTGCTCGAGGAGACAACGATGCCAAATCTGCTTGGCCAGAAATGCATGAGAGATTCTCATCTGGGAAGCCTCGTTTTTCTGAAACATACACACACACTCATGTTATACATTGCGATACAACATAATTTTATAAAACTAGATCAAAATGATTATGGTGTATGAGTCAGATAAATTTTTTTTAAAAAAATTCAAATAATTTTGGGACAATTTTAGAACTACAAAGAAAAATAACATTAACGAGATATAATTTAATAAGGTATTTGTAAAGGAAAATTAATTTTTGGAATATTTTAATGACGTACAATGTAATGTAATTACTCTTTTGAACTAAATATTGTGTATAAAGA